GCTGCCCCGAGCTCAGGCTTCCTTGGGGGTTCCCCCTTTCGGTGAGAGGCCTCTGTGGATGCACAGCCCCCCCCCCCCCCGCCCCCGCACTCACATGTCTGCAGGGAGAGCGTTTCCAAGTCCCAACAGAGCGCTTTACATTTCTCATGGGAGATTTTTTATTTGTTGAGACTGTATCCCTGACTCACTCCTAATATGCATCTGCTGAGTGACTGAGAGAAGCTGCCTGACATGAAGTCACATGTAAGACTCGAGCTGGTCTCCTGTGACCTGGGTTTCCTGTACTTATAGCTCATACGTTCCGTGTCCCACAACGAGTGGACCCCGTCGGGCACATCCACCAGCTGCCTGCATTCCTCCATCTCTTACCCCTCACAGCCGTTGGGCCCCAAGATCCACTGCATTCACAGCCTTACTATCTCGAGTCCTTCCACGGTCTCCTCACCAGTTGCCCCGGCCCTAGTATCTTCTCGCTTTTCCCCAGTCCACCCTTGACATTGCTGCAAACCTGACCATATCTATTGCCTGCCTAAACCCTGCAACAGCTCCCCACAACTTCCAGGGTGATTTCTTAATCCCTGAGTTTTGCCTACGTGGCCCGCATCAGCTAGCTTTTCTCTTTGGTTTTTAATTTCAGAATAATACATGCTTTTTGTGGAAAAATTTAGCATCACAGAAAGAAGCACACAATGTAAATGTTGAGCATTCTACTTTAGCATGCACCCTGGTTTCTCCCACCTCCTTCTCCAGAGTGTTACAGTTCAGTATATATCATTCCAGACCTTTTACTATACTTAGGTATTATGTGTGTGTGCGCACATACATTATATACAGCTTTTCCCACAAAAACTGCATCATATTGAATATCTTATTCTGCACCATGATTTTTACATTTTCCCCTTACTATCATGTCATGGGAGACTTTCCATGTCAGTACCTATGGCAATATAACTCCCCTTTTCTTGATTTTTAAAGTGTTAGAGATCTTCAAATTAGGGTAAGCCAGGTCAAGACTTAGAGAAAAAGAAATCCAAGTATGAGATCCAAGTAATGAGGTACTGTCTGAAGACAGTCCTTTTGCCCTTGAAGAAATACTTTACCAAAAAGTAAAATCAATGTGGGTGGAGTTAAGGGGGCCACCAAGTTAGCTGGCCCTGCAGATGCACCTTGTATTACAATTAAATCTTTGTTTTCAAGTCCCAACTAATGACACTGATTTTGCTTTTGCAGCATATAACTCAACAGAAATTGTTGGGGCCCTCCACTAGTGTTTGTGGTGCTGGCATTCCATCTGTATTTTTTAGAGCCATGGAGGCTCCAAGGATGGTGGTTCCACGTCTGCAGGCACTAGAACAGCTTCTTCCCGTAAACTGTTTCATCTCATGGTTACGCACCATCTGCATGATCAACAGTTCCTTGTTGTGATCTTTTATGTTGGCCAATGAAATAACGCAGGAACATTCTGGAAAATATATTTAAAAAACTAAATATTTTTCTTGAAGCATCAAAATTCTCTAGTAGAACCAAAGCTCTATAGGATTGGAGAGGGTCTGGCTTGTTCATGGCCATATCCAAGTGCTGTGGATACTCAGTAAATTGGTGAAAAAGCCAAGCCACACCATTTTTTTGATGTGTGTGTAGAATTCCATAGCATGCATGTTCTCTTATTTAACTGGCATTATTGGTGGATATTTATTGATTATATAAACGATGCTATAATGAACACTTGTGTACATATTTCTTTGTTTACAAGTTCCTGTGTCATAGACTTCTAGGAATGACCAAACTATGAAGCAAATTGACAATTTTGGTAGCGCCTACCAAATTGTCCTCCAAATGTCTGTACCAACTGATATTTCAGCAAGAATGTGTATGTGCCTATGTCTTTACAACTTTGGGCACACTGGATACTATCAGTCTTTTTCATCTTTACTAATCCAGCAGGCAGGAAAGTAGCATGGTTGAGAGCATAAGCCCTAGAGTCATACCTGATTTCAAATCCTGACTGCATGGTGACTAGCTCTGTGTCCTTTGGCAAGCCTCTGACTTCCCTTAGCTTTCTCATCTCTGAAATAGGGTTAAAAAGTATATCTACCACATGGTGTTATTAGGGGGACAAAATGACATAATTCAAGTAACGTGCTAATAACCGTGCCTGTATTAGCATCAATACTAGCTACTACTCTTATTCTTATTCACATTCAGGCCAAGATGGGATTTGTACTGCCTGAGTACAGAGAATGGAGCACACAGTAGCATCAACAAAGCCACAAGGCCTCAGGAGAATGTCCCCTTATTTAAAGGTTAATGTAGCTGGGTGAGCCTTGGATGGGGGCACTGGGGCTCCAGGTACTTTACATTCTGAAGACTGAAGAATTTAAATTCAGAGTAAGCAACCCAAACTTCAGACTTAAATGAAAAACTGTTTTAACAAGTCTCTAAAGCCCAGAAGGGATCTTTCAAGATCCTTAAAGCCCTTATCCATCTCCCATAGGGCTGTTTTCAAAGTATTTCAGGGCATTCAGTTCACACCTCGTTTGCATGACGTTAGCACTTTCCCAGAGATATGCCAATTAAAATAAAAAACTTCCAAGAAACTACAGGGTACTCGTGTCCATCTTCCCGGGGATGAGTTCTTCCATTTCGCTTTTGGTAAACATACTGTGAAGATGTTACAACTGTACTCAGACTTCCTCAGGTACCAAATGAAAATTGCACGGCCTACTAAATCAGGCCATGGGCTGAGGTCAGATCCAGAGGAAGGAGGATTCCTGTGGAGTGGAAACAAGTCTGGGACAGGTCAGGGGCAGAAATCACATGGATATCAGGAGACGTCACGTCTGAGCAGAGCAGGGGGACAGAATGTGAGTCTGGGGGGCCGGGTGAGGGCTGGTGTCTGAACATCCTTACCCCACACTGACCCTCCCATGCCCCCCAGAGCCAGCTCCCAAGGCAGGAGAGCTCCGGCATCTCAGCCGTGCTCACGGCAACAGGTGAGTCTGTCCCCTCCTCCCTGCCTTGCTTCTCGCCTCTTCTGTGTTCCTGCACCTTCCTGGCTCCTGAGCTTTCGCCTTTGTCTCCCAGTCCTGAACCACAACCTGTTTCTTCATCCGAAGGCCCCTTTTGCTCCGCGTGGCACTGAAGCTAAGCTTCCTCACCATAGCACGTCCTGCCCCAGACCAGCAGTCTGGAAGTCAGCCCAGCCAACTTGCCTCCTGCCCCCCAAGGAGAGAAATGAGATGCAATCCATGAGGGGAAGGAATCAAAACAAGTATAAACAACAACAGCAACAATCCACTGTTTTCATGTGCTAGGCACCTTGCTAATTACCTTATATATAGTATCTTATTAAATCCTTAGGAGGCGTTTGAAAGGTCGGTATATACTTTTTAATCCTCAGCAATACATTTCTTTGGCGAAATTAGTTACGCCGTTAGTCAATGGCATGTCTAGAGTTTAAACCTCAATGTGGAGACCACATTTGTCAGCCTGTGAACCCAGGTGGAGGGGGCTGGGAGGGTAAGC